CCGAGCTTCCTTCAACGCCTCCTCAGAAAAAGATGGAAGACAAGGCGAATGACCCATTATCATAGCCCCGAGCAAATCACTCGGAGTACTCCGGTCGAGACTCAGGTCTTCGAAACCAACCCCGACAGGCACAGCCGCCATCGGCTCGGGAGCTCTAGCAACCTCGATGGCCTCCGCAGATCGGATTACCAAAGNAATTACCAAAGCCGAGAAGCTATCTTCTTCTTCTTCTTCTTCTTCTTCTTCTTCTTCTTCTTCTCTCAGTCGTTGGACCGAGTCAATCGAAAGGGCAATTGCTTTTCTCCTCACCCTTCGAGTTTTGGGCTTGGGGTCCTCTGACCGAGAGGAAGAAGCTCTTCGCTTCTTATCTTTCCCCTGTTTGGGGACCAGGGACTTGTTTCCTTCTTCACCGATCGAAGGCCTCAAAGCGGCATCCCTGGTTACGCCTGCACAAAAGGAAATCGGTAACAAATAAAACGCAAAGAATACTTCGAAGGAAACAAAAAGCAAACCTCACCATGGTTCTTGGCCTCTCATCTGCCTTTTGCCAAATCACGCCAAGCGCGCTCGGCATAAGAAGAGGTCGAGGCTAACTTCTGAACCTAGTCCTCGAGTCCAGGCACTGCTTGTGGCATCCAAGGGGTAGCTGAACATCAGGGAAGGACATCAGGAAAAATCGTAAAAGGATATGAAAAGTAAACAAGAATCACTTACGGTCAAAATTCCATTCTTCAGGGAACGACATCTTCTCCTCCGGAATAAGATCACGGGTCCTCGCTCGAATATAACGACCCATCCAACCCCGATCCTTGTCTTCATCGATGCTCGACATCAAAGCCTTCGATGCTCGACGATGAAGTCTAATTAGTCCTCGAAAAATCTGAGGCCGGTACACTCGTATGAGGTGGTTCTGAGAAAAATCCAACCCCCCGACTTTGATAGAAAAGAAGCGCAACAAGATCACTATACGCCATAAAGAAGGATGAATTTGGCCAAGAGTGACCTGATATCTTTTGCAGAAATCAATAATCACCGGGTCGACGGGTCCCAATGTGAAGGGATAAGTATAAACACTTAAAAACCCCTCCACATAAGTGGTGACGCTCTCATCGAAGGATGAAATTTGCAACATAACCTCGGAACCCCAATTGCAGTCTTTTCTGACGGCCTCGAGGTGATCCTCCGTTATAGAGCACGTATACATCGATACGTGCTCACATCGACCCGGAACGGATGAAGGATTCTCCACCTTAAAATCGGTCTTTAAAATGCACGGGCCAAGAACATAGTCATGAACGGACGGCTCCACCGTTGCCTTATCATCAAACGGCCGTGAGGAAGAAGCTTTCTCCGTCTGAGGTACGATTTTGGAAGTTTTCGCCATTGATATGAGAGGAAAGAGTGAAAAGGAAGGTAAAAGAATGGACATCACCAAAAACTCTGGTATGGGCGGCCCTGAAGCAGCGAAATAGAGAGGATAAATAAGAGAATTTGGAAGAAGAGAAGGCGCAAAAGTGGTAAATGTTGTATGGAAAGACTATTTATAGGCTAAGGCATGACGATTCAGTATTAGCGGTGGCCGACCACCGTCTGACATGCATTAAAAGCCTCGGTAAAACCGAGCCGATGGGACAGTTATCACATACGTCATGATCGGGGTCGATAGAAACGTCGGCATAAATTTGATCGAGCCGTAGAGAAATCATATCGTTTCTCGCCACATCCTTTCCGAGAAATGAGGGGACTATCTGTGTATGGCCAAAACCGATTCTCGATCATAAAAACTGGTCGAGACGATGACGTCTCGATCGAAGGGTATCCACATGACAAGCTCGGACGAATTCTGGAGTAGGGGCGTCGAGTTTCGAGCTATAAGACCGATCGACGGCAAAACTCGGTATCATTATTGAGCTCGTATCCGAATCGAACTACGAGGCAACACCGACCGAAACAGGCCCCAAATATCGATGCCCCAAGGCAGAATCAAGCTCGAACCGAGACTGGGGGATTCGATCTAACACCGAGCTCGAGCCAGTGCCAAGCTCGCAGATAAATGCCGTTACAACCGCACCAAGGGAGAGAATCTTGGCAGGAATCGAGAAAGAGACAAATCATCATGGATCCTCCACTATATGCATTATTTTATTATGTTATTATATATAAAGTAATAACCCTATATTATAAAAAGGGACATAGACTGCAATAGACCCATCCCCCCCAACATATATTGATTTTTCATAGTGCTTATTTAGTATTCCTGCTCATTATTCCCACTTTATAGCAAAAATACTTGTATTGTCATTTTGTATCATAGGAATTTGCGTATCCTTAGAACCATAACTAAATTTAACGTTATCCAATTTTAAGGGTAAACAGAATATTAATGCAAAAATTTTGATTTTACATTTCTAAAGGTAATACTAACTCTTTTGAAGTGTGGGTTCTGGGTTTAAAAGGACCTTATGTATGGTGCTTTTCTGGAGGGTTCTTTATTCCTCCAAAAAGCAAGTTGTATGAATGATCAGTGGTTATACTTTTTTTCCCTCTTTTGTGTGATTAGATATTTTTGAATTTTGTTTTTCTAGTTGATTTGTTGATTGAATAGTGAAAGTTGAGGTTTTGTCTGGAAGGTGGGGCTTCTAAGCTACTAAGTGATGTCATTGTTGTTCTACTATTTGTATAGAAGTTTCTTGGTTTACCATGAAAATACTGTCATACAGAAGAATGAGATCCTATTAACATTACTTTAAGTTAGATGGGACTGTTGATTCTGAGACTATACATGTAGTTGAAATAGTTTGGTAAAATTGTGCTTGGGGAAAGGAACTTTTTGATTGCTTCTGCAACATCACTTCTAATCACACAAATATTTGCTCTCTTCAACCATGATTAATTGACACTATAGTAGTCTAGTGAAGATATAACACTAATCTGATATATGTATGTAGGGAAGATTTTTGCTGAAAAATCTTCTTACGAGCCCAAATCCCGATCTTCTACAGTTGCAGCATCAGAGAAAGTCCTTGTTCCTGGCGGCCAGAGTGACAGCTCCTTATCCTCAACTGAACAATTGGAGGTTGCTGATACAGTTCCAGAAAATGCCCTGGTATGTTTCATTAATCTCCAACCGCATGAAAAGAGAGTTCCTTTTATTTTGGGTGGGGGTGGGGGTGGAGGTGGAGGTGGCAAATTTTCTTGCAGAAAACACTTCTAAATAGATATCTTTCTGAATCTGCTTGAATGAAAGTGTTATTGCATTTTGTTCCCATGAGAACAGTGTCGTTAAAAAGTAGTCTTCTCAATATTTCCGTATTCTAGATGCCAGATGCGTGGCTTCTAGCTACAGTTGATACATCATTGCTAACTCGTGAAAACAAATTTGTATGCACTCTTAGTTCAGAGGGAGGCATGAGTATGCTTTGGTGCCCTTAGGTTCTCCCAATAAATAATAGTAGAAAGTTATCTACTCCTATTACCTGCAAATTTGAGGTGTTAGGCATCGTATAAACAAATAGTGCCTATAAATCCATGATTAATAATATTACTTTTGAGGATTAAAAAAATGATGCATAGCAGCTCAACCTACCACACTTAAAGTCCATTGTCTGGGATTTTGGTAGAGAGATCCTTTCAATAATATTGGAATGACTAAGGCTTCTTGAGCAGTCTTGTTTAAATAATTGCAACAGACGCATGCTTATGTTATGGAAAAATATTTTTTGAGTCCAAAAATCTCTTTCCCAGTAGGTGACTTATTTTGTCTATGCAAGTATCAATTGAGGGAGCAAACTTTGAACAAGATAAAGACACAAAAAGAGAGACTGTTTCCTTCGTCAATCCAACTGAAGGTATAAAAGTCAATATCNCTTCGTCAATCCAACTGAAGGTTTAAAAGTCAATATCACAACAGTATGTGAGGAATGTGGTTACTTTGACAGTATTATGTTGAGAGTGTCTCTAAAGAGGATATTTCTTTTAAGTGTATGCTATTCTCTATGATACTAGAGTAGTAAGTGTATGTTATTCTCTATGATACTGATATTATTTTTTCTCTTTAGTCATGATTTTTTCCTTATCTGAGAATTGAAAGTTTCAATGTCTATCATCATTTCCCTTTATTTACTGTGGGTGTCTTTGGTCTCAACAAATGGTATCAAACGCTCGGTTGAATTATCACTATCGGTATATTGCATGTCCCTACAAGTGGTACTAGGACTAGGGAATAGTTTGGTTCCGTGTAAGCATGGGCACCATTCACAGGAATAATACAAATTATCCGCATAATACTATTTATACATACGAGTTTTATATGTAGAGGCATTGTTCACATTCCATACATGAACGCTATCCACAGTAAATGTCCTAAAATTGATAGAAGGTAATTAGACATGTTATACTTGTTCCACCAGTATAGATGTCTTTTGGACAAGTGAGCACTATTCGATAAATACTAGTGCAGAGCGTGCGTAGCTGCGCTGCATCATCAGAGGAGGATGTGAAACTAGTTTTGTCGAGGGAATTACCATTTGGTAACAGGTGAAAGGCATTTTACTATAAAGTGGGGACTAAGGCATCGTGTAGCAGATACCAGAGTATATTGAATATAGAGCACCATTCATGTGAAGCTCAAGTAAAATGGAGAGTACGGTTTTAAAGTGCCAAGACACAACTTCTGAGGAGGTTTGTTTGTGGAGGAGCGACTTCCAGAAGACAATAGGGAATGCCACCAGAGCTTGCCTGCAAACACAGCTCTGGAGAAGTTTGGGCGGGAATGTTCGACTTGTTTAACGCAATTGGAGAGAATTTTATCGATGGAAAAAAATCTTGCTTACATCCTCTCTGTAACTACATAGGATGAGATCTCATTGCTTTTTTAATCATTAAAGCTCTTGGGCGGGAATGTTCGACTTGTAATCTCATTGCTAGTTGCTAGATAACCATAGAAAATGTGGCAGTCTGGCCTAAAGATTTTTTTTCCTATGCTGTCCACTTTTAGGTTTTCAGAGTACAAGAAAATGAGGGAGGCAATTGACAAGTATGAGGGTGGTTTGGAAGCTTTTTCTCGTGGTTACGAAAAAAAGGGTTTCACTCGTAGGTAATAACTGCTTTCTATCTTATTTAATTTTCTTTCTGAAGGTATTCGAGACCGGCCTCGTGCAAAACCTTGTCAATTTCATGCCATAATGTTATTCGTTGACGCCAACTTGGTACTTCTTTGGCCCACACTCAAACCTATAGAGGAGTGAAAAGGTGATATAGGTTGTAATATCTGCAGATAAAAGAAAGAGAAACATATTACATTTTGTATTTGGAGACATGTATATAGCAGCGGTTAATTCTTGACATGCTCAGCCCTCTACTAAAAATGGCTATCATCTAGTTTCTAGCAATCTAGGCATGGTATATATTGGAATTTGAAGTATTTATCTCAGACAGCAGGAGTGATTCCCGGAAAGTGACCTTACAAAGCTAATGTTTTCGAAAAGGAACCGTCTGGAGCTCGTGTTACACCTAATTGTTTTGAAGAGAATCTATGTACTTCATCCCTTTATTGTAGATCATTTTACTTTCTGTTTTTCTTTTCCTTGGAGTATATGTATGTTATATCAGATCTGTAAGCCTGACCTTATTGTAGGTGCTCCTTCTTTCCCTTTTGTATGTTTGCTCTACTGAGAGGAGCTGAAGTATCAGTCACTGATTGCCTGTGAACTTTGTTGCTAGTGCTACAGGTATCACTTATCGGGAGTGGGCTCCTGGTGCCAAGGTCAGTGTTTCCTTTCTTGTTTTGTTTTAGATTCTCTATGATAAAAAGGACCACAAAATTGATAACCACTTCTTTTTAAAGTAAAAGGTGAGAGAAACTAAGAGAAAGTAGAAAGGAGAAGATTTATGTTTTAATTCTCAAGAAAGCTGTTTAAGGACTTCTGACCTAAATATGTTTCTTTTCTGATAGTTTAGAATATTGTAATTGCTCCACAGTTTCTGTCATTTGCACAGATTATGGTCTTCACCCTGGATAGACTTCTGACCTAAAAACAAGGATAAGATTCCTTTGGCTTAACTTATTAAAGTTAGGCTTTGCTGCTCGATAGCATTACTCACTAGCTCTGCAAGCTTGATCTAGGCATCGACTTGGTGAGCCATTGACTTAGTTTGTAAGACTTATTCTGGTCCAATGTGATGGTCACTTTGAGGATGGAGTGAGAATGGACATATATTAAGTCATCTTTTCAGAATAAAGGTCAAGGACTGAGAAACTATTTTAAAATACTTCAGGTTGCAAACTTCTGTATCCCAAAATAATTAGTGAATCATCTTTCTTCTTCCACTAGCAAGTAAAAGATCTATTTTGGCATGTAAGAATTAGCTCCCAGGATTCCAAGAACTACACTGACTCAAGATCAGCCAAATAAGTACAACTTTGTCTTGAGGAACACAATCATAATATTTTGACCTGGTTTGTGTTATGCCAGTACAGGTACCTATATCAGCAAATCAAGTATTTCTCTTTTGGTTAGGGGGTGCTTTTATCAGAATAAAATGTTGTTTCTTGAGTTTAACCAAGTCCGATGAGTTCAGTACGCTGATTTTAGATTGAGGAGCCTTCTAAAAGAAAGTAGAATCCCTTTGGCAACACATAATTGCTGGATGTATGGCAGAACATTTTTCTGCCAAAGCTGCAAATTCTGACGTTTTGTGTAAACTGATTACTAAAAAGATAAGGTTCAAGTGCTATATACGGTGAAATGAGAGATCAATAATGTGAAATAACGTGGAAAGTCATTAGTGATCTCCTTATATGCCCATCAGTTGTTATACCAACTTCTGCATTTTGTTTATGATATGATAATATCGGTTTTGTGAAAGTCTAAATTGCATGTATATCCTATGCTTTCCCTTGCAGTGGGCTGCCCTCATTGGAGATTTCAACAATTGGAACCCAAATGCTGACGTCATGACTCGGGTATATCCCTTACAGTACATATCCAAGTGGTTCTGTTGCCATTTTTGTTTGAGAGCCTTGTGTTCTTTACATTCGATTGTCTTTGCTACTCATTTCAAAGTTTCTAGCAAATGTCTCGTATTCTTATTTCTGTTTACCTTTTCTATTACCCCTTTGTTGATCGAGTTATTTTGGCACGTGATCCCCTTTTCAAATTTGCATGTTACAAGGGAGTTTTTGCAAGAATATATGTATTTCTTAAGATTTCAGAGTGACAGTTTCTTTACTTGTTTCTAGTAAGGCTCATATTTCGTTAGTTCCTTGATAGTAGGGCTGAAAATGACGACACACTTTAAATTGGTATTCGGTGAGAATAGTGCTTTCTATGTCTAACTGGTCTGGTTACTTATCAAAAAAAGAAAAGAAGTCTAATTATTCTATCAGATGTTCCATTGATCTGAAAAAATGAAATGTTCAAGATCTGGTATAGTTCTTTAGAACTTTCCTGAGTCTTTCAGAACTCTGCTTTACTTCTACGAGCATGCAACAAAATTCCTTCCTTTTCAGTTCATTGTACAAAAGGGATCAATCAATCGGATATTAGACAAGTGTACAGGTCAAAGAGGAGCTATACAAAAATTATTGCTCTCTGCAGAAGACATCCTATCACCTATACAAGTTGCATCTTTTGAGTACTCCTGAAGTACTCTAAGCGAACATCATATGTTCTGTTTGGAACAAAAGAAAGTCCCACTTGTACTTGTCAAAAAAAGGAAAAAATTTCACTTGCTCAAGAGATCTTCTATTCTCTTCTTTTCGAATTGACAGAACCATCGCTTGAGAAATTTCTGTCCAAGCATTGTCTTTATTCCTTCTTTTATTTATTTTCCAGTTTCCCTAAAGATTTTTCAGGCATTGTCCAACTACTTCCTGAAATTTTATGGATCATATTCCACAATTGTTATACAATCTTGCACTGTTATAGTAGATGAGTCTCATCTTCACTAGCTCGCATTGTCTTTCTCTTCTCTTCTCTTCTCTCCTTTTTGCCCCTTGGGGCAGGGGTGGGGTGGTGGTGGTGGGAGCAGGTGGGTGTTACAGAGAGTTTTAGTGTTACGGTTATCTTCTGTAATTAATATGTTAACAATGAGGATATATAGAAGGATCATCTATTTGCTTTGCATGTTACAATGTTAAGCTCTATGCAGTGGTGAAATGTTGCATAAAACTAATTCTTGATCCATAAGCAGAACGAATTTGGTGTCTGGGAGATTTTTTTGCCAAATAATGCGGACGGCTCTCCTGCAATTCCTCATGGGCCTAGAGTGAAGGTATGTTCATTTTCTACAGTGCTCTGATTGATATTTGGGTATTTTATCCATTGGCTGTCGATACTACTATTTTCTACCTTTCAGTTAAAATACTTGTGTCAAAGAATGCTCAAGAATTCTTTTTAGTTATATAGGTCTATTCACTTCTAAGCCTGTTAAATGCTGGCTGCAAAGTCTTTCAAGGAGACACCCCTTCCAAAGTTTATAGTGTCTCTGTCTCCCTTCTCGCTCTCTCTTTCAGCTAAGGGTGACAAGTGGACCGGCCCGGGACCGCGGGCCAAATGGGCTTCTGGGCAGGTTCTCTACTGTGGGACCGCTAGGACCGGGAACGTTTGGGACTGGACCGGTCCCTGGCCGACCAAATGGTCCCGACAGTCAAAAATTTAAAACAAAACAATTCTGCCCATTTGGGCATGTAAAATATGGTCGTTGGGTCTGCCAAAATAGACGTTGGCTATTTACAAAATAGCCATTTAATCCCCCAACTTTGTTTTAACACTAAACTTTTTATAATTATACTTTTTTCCTATTTTTAACTATAAATACCCCCTCATTCTTTCATTTTTTGTACAAAATCATCAATCTCTCTCTAATTTTCTTCTATAATTGCTACTATTGCTTACTTTATTGTTACAATTTGTGAAAAAATTATGAAAAAATTGTAAAGTTGGTGAATCAGTCTTCAAGTCTTCAACGATAATCAATTTTCAACAAGTTGTTCGTCAATTTGGTAAACTCGTTCCAACTCTTAAGTTTTAATATTATAGTTTTGTTTGTTTTATTTATTTTCTATTATTTGATAAAAATAAGGAAAAATCCAAGAGTGACGAATCTAGTGGTCAATCTGTTCCTCCTCCACTGCCCCCGGCTCCCCGAATCAAATCCCATATCCGTCCTACACATGCTATTTTTGATAGCAATAATAGCTTATTACAATTTACTAAGAGTCAATTTTGCCATAATATTGGAGCTGGTGAACAATTAGACCATGAATTAATGAATGCTCTTTATTCTAATCCAACTATTGATGAAAATGATAAGGAGAAAATAAATTTTGATGAAACTCAACCGGATGACGATACACCCATTAGTGATAACCCTGCTAATCCAAATAATGCCCCATCTGATACTCTTGTTACTGCCCTTACTTTTTCTAGATAACCTACCAAACAGACGGAAACATCTCATGTTTGGCCATTTTTTACTCAACTAATTCCAGAAAATAAGACTAAGTATAAAATTTGTGGCACGCAGTTAAAATTTAAATATTTTCAGTCGCGCGGGGGT